GTGTGGTAGGGTCAGTAGAATAGCAAGTAGAATCGCAACCCTGGACTTTAGCAGGGCAAACTTTGGCCTCTTCAAGCGATTGCTAGGGGAAATCCTGTGGGCTAGGCTGCTTGAAGGGAAAGGGGCCCAAGATAGTTGGTTGACGTTCAAGGACTGCTTTTTCCGAGCTCAAGATCGGAGCATCCCGACACGTAGGAAGTCAAGGAAGAGGGTCAGGATTCCTGCGTGGCTAAATAGGGAATTGCTCGGTATGCTCAAGTGGAAGAGGAGAGTTTACAGGTCATGGAAAGAAGGGCTGGGCACTTGGGAAGAATATAAGGCTGCTGCTAGAGGATGTAGGAAAGCTGCTAGGATGACTAAGGCCTCCTTGGAATTAAAGCTGGCGAGAGTGGTCAAGGACAGCAGAAAGAGCTTTTTCATATACATGGCAGGTAAAACTAACACCAGAGGCAATGTAGGCCCACTGATGAACGGGACGGGTGCCCTGGTGACAGAAGATACAGAGATGGCAGAGTTACTGAATGACTTCTTTGTCTCTGTCTACTCTGCCGGAGGCAGTCCTGAAGAGCCCTGTACCGCTGAGACCTCGGATGAAGATAGGTCAACGGAGCGGTCTGCCTTAGTCGATGAGGAATGGGTTAAAGACCAGTTGAGCAATCTGGATATCCATAAATCCATGGGTCCAGATGGGATGCACCCGCGGGTGCTGAGGGAACTGGCTGAGGTCATTGCTAGACCGCTCTCCATCATCTTTACCAAGTCTTGGGAAACGGGAGAGGTGCCTGAGGACTGGAGGAAAGCAAATGTCACTCCTGTCTTCAAAAAGGGCAAGAAGGAGGACCCGGGTAACTATAGACCGGTTAGCCTCACCTCCATTCCTGGGAAAGTGATGGAACACCTTATCCTTGGTGCCATCTTAAGGCATATCAAGGATAAGAGGGTTATGAGGGGCAGTCAACATGGCTTCACCAAGGGGAAGTCATGCTTGACCAATCTCGTAGCCTTTTATGAGTAAATAACACGGTGGATGGATGATGGCAGAGCGGTGGATGTGGTCTACCTTGACTTCAGCAAAGCGTTTGACACAGTCTCCCACAGCATCCTTGCGGCTAAATTGAGGAAGTGTGGTCTGGATGATCGGGTAGTGAGGTGGACTGTGAACTGGCTGAAGGAGAGAAGCCAGAGAGTTGTAGTCTATGGGGCGGAGTCTAGTTGGAGGCCTGTATCTAGTGGAGTGCCTCAAGGGTCGGTACTGGGACCAGTATTATTTAATATATTCATCAACGATTTAGATGAGGGAATTGAGTGTACTATCAGCAAGTTTGCTGATGACACTAAGCTGGGAGGGGTGGCCGACACGCCAGAAGGCTGTGCTGCCATCCAGAGGGACCTGGACAGGCTGGAGAGCTGGGCGGGGAATAACTTGATGAAATATAACAAGGGAAAGTGTAGAGTCCTGCATCTGGGCAGGAACAACCCCAGGTTCCAGTATAGGCTGGGGAACGACCTGTTAGAGAGCAGTGTAGGGGAGAGGGACCTGGGGGTCCTGGTGGACGACAGGGTGACCATGAGCCGACACTGTGCCCTTGTGGCCAAGAAGGCCAATGGCATCCTGGGTTGTATTAGAAGGGGGGTGGTTAGTAGGTCGAGAGAGGTCCTCCTTCCCCTCTACTCTGCCCTGGTGAGACCTCATCTGGAATATTGTGTCCAGTTCTGGGCCCCTCAGTTTAAAAAGGACAGGGACCTGCTGGAGAGAGTCCAGCGCAGGGCAACTAAGATGATTAAGGGAGTGGAGCATCTCCCTTATGAGGAAAGACTGAGGGAGCTGGGTCTCTATAGTTTGGAGAAGAGGAGATTAAGGGGTGACCTTATTAGTGTATATAAATATATAAAGGGGGAGTGTCACGAGGATGGAGCCAGGCTCTTCTCAGTGGCAAACAATGAAAGGACAAGGGGAAATGGGTACAAATTGGAACACAAGAGGTTCCACTTAAACCTGAGAAGAAACTTCTTCTCAGTGAGGGTGACGGAACACTGGAACAGGCTGCCCAGGGAGGTTGTGGAATCTCCTTCTTTGGAGACATTCAAGACCCGCCTGGACACGTTCCTGTGTAACCTTATCTAGGTGTTCCTGCTCCGGCAGGGGGATTGGACTAGATGATCTTTTGAGGTCCCTTCCAATCTCTAACATACTGTGATACTGTGAACCTCAGTTACCAGAGTGGCAATGAGCCAACTTCAATCAGCTCAAAATGGGCTGGAAGGAGCATAGGCACATTTAATGCTAAAACCACCTGCACAAACCCATGTGTGTGATGTGGTTACCAAAACCAAGGGATGGAGATTCAGATAGACTTCTCTAAGCTTTTCTTTTTTTTTAATTTCTTTTTTGTAAGTTCTGTGTTATTTTTATTAAATTGGCATAAATAGCAGAGGCCCATGGTTGAACAAAACTATTTCATTTCATCTGAAGATTAAGATGAAGCACAAAGGCTAGCAGGGCTGTTTATGGATGAGTGATTTTGTATAAGTTTAATTTTATGATGATTGTGGACAGTGCACACCTTGTCTTTTTTTCCTAACATAGATGGCTGAGAATAACCACACCACTATTTTAACCACACCAAGTAGACCTACTCTGAGTAAATTAATCATTTACTACTTGGCAAATATAATTTACTAAATGTCTAATCAAGCTTGAAGTTAGTGTTTCTTTTGACAAAATGAAACTAACTTTCTTTACTTTGTAGGAGTTTTGTGTTTGTACTTTCTGTTCACTTGTGATAAGAGACGTCAAAATTGAAAATGTTGTAAACGTCCCTAAAATACTCTAGTAGTTTGTCTCACCTATGGCTATGGGTGACAAACTGCAGAGACAAGGAATTCAACATATTCCTCCTTTCAGTTCCTTGGATTTTTGCTGTAATTGCTATCAAGGATGTAGAATTGCCAGTATTGCAGGTGCTGGATTTCATGGTGTGAATGATTATGGGCAGCAGCCTGGATCCAGGCCAAAGAAGTCGTTTCATGATTGCTGTGAAAAAGTCTTCAGAGGGAAAGAGCTTTGAATTGCTCTCAGCTTCGATGAGTTTTACACAGATGTTATAAATGTGGAGAACTCATTACCTTGATTAATTCCTGGCCATCCAGATCCTGGTCAGTAATGTAGTTTTGTAAAAGATATTTCCTAGTTTTCAAGTAAGCTTCAATAAAGATTCTAGAAATAGTCTACACCAGTGATGCAAGAGAAGAACTATTACATGCTTACCATCTATTCTTCTACAGAGGTGGCTTCCCAGCATATTGAAAATTTCCAAGGAATTAAGTGGATTGGTTAGGCAGACCTGAAGAGCCTGAATTAATTCACTGGTTAGAGAATTTGAACACTGCTGATGTGGAATAGTACAGCCAGCACCGTAAAGGTATGTCTGACCAGCCTGAACATACCAAGTCCTTAATGTCATACTTTTTCAGGCCCTTGTGCTCTTCATTTAAATTACCTGTGGTGTCAATTAGTGGTAATTAATATATGTATGGAACGATGGATTTGATGAAATCTAATGTGTTTTAAGGAGTTAGTATTAAAAGCAGGTGTTTGGTGTTCTGTGTTAATTACCAAGATAGTTCTTTTAAATATACAGTTTTAAAACCAGGAGTTTAAAAGCTATTTATTTTCATTCTGTGCATTGATGTCCGTGTGTAGGTGTGTGTGCAACAGGGCTCAAGCATGTTCTCTGCTCTCCAGGACATTTATTGACACACTTTTAGTTCTGACACAGGAAAGGTACACCTGGGCATTGCTGCCCACTATGCTGGTGTCCTGGGTTCAGCAGTAGCAGTCATTTTTCTCCTACTTGGTAGCTGGTGCAATGCTGTGTTTTGACTTTCAGCCTGGGAACAGAGCTGATAACAATGATGTTTTGGTTTGGCCAAGGACTTTGCGAGCCTCATGCTCTGCCAGGGAGAAGGGGAAGCCAGGAAGAAGCAGAGACAGGACAACTGACCCAAACTGACCAAAGAGGTATTCCATACCACAGAACGTCATGCCCAGGAGGTAACGGAGAGTTACCCGGAAGGGCTAGGGGGACTACGGGGTTGGAGGAGGTGTCAGTCAGTGCTTGGTCATGGTGGAGGGGGGGGCGAGTTATCTGTCGGCTGGTGGTGAGGTGTTGTATTCTCTTCCCTTGTTATTTCCTTTATCATTATTATTACTGGTGGTAGCGGTGGTGATTTGTGTTATACCTTAGTTACTAAACTCTTCTTATCTCAACCCATGGGAATTGCATTTCTTTTTGATTCTCCTCTCCTTCCCTCTGGGAATAGGGTGAGGGCAAGAAGGGGGGGAGTGAGTGAAAAGCCGTCTGGCTGGGTTTAAACCATGACAGCTGGGATCACAGGGAATGGAAGGAAAAGCTTTTCAGCCCTTCCAGCAACCCATATATCTACTGGAGCAGTACAAGCTACAAGTCCAAATCTGACCTTAAGTGCATAATATTTGGAACAAGGGGATTCATTAATATGTTGTACAACTGTATGAATTCAGCTGAGAATAGAGCCCCTAATTGGTTAAGATTTCACAAATAAGTGCTCATAAAGTGATTCAGAAAAAAAGTAACTGGGCATCAAGACACACTCTTAGAATTATAGTCTCTGCATATAGCCTGAAATTTTCCATTTTCAACAACTGGAGCACTATTTAAATTAATAAAATGAAAGAGACCAGATTTCTCCCAAGGATAGTAAATATCAGCAACTTCAACATGAGAAAAATTGCTTCACGCAACTCCTTGCTGAACATACTAATTCTGCCATTCCTTTCTTCTGATTTTTGGTTTCAGACAGGTAAATTAAAATTTATTTCCTTTGCATTCTTTTAGATTGGAATCCCAAGTGTGAAAAAGTTAGATATATCTGAACTCTGTATTTCTTAAGGGAATTAATTAGGGGAAAAATACATAAAATTCAGTTCAAGTGCAATGTTTTCAAGATAACCCACACATTAGGATGGCTTTCTTTGGCTTTTATGGCTACTTGCTTACCTCTGGGGTCAGTGCATTGTTATCTGACATCTGACTCGACAGCAAAATATGTGTGAAACCATCTTCTTTCCGGACTACAATGTCCCGGAACCGGCAGTTACTTTCGTTTTGACGCATGCTGTATCTTAGTCTCTTATCAAAGACATAATCTTTCTCCCTGTCTAGTTTCCTTTTCACAGTGCTATGCAGATTCAAGCTTCCATTGGCCACAGAAGAACCTTTCAGACAGAAAGAATCAAAGCACAATTATGTCTCAATCTTCAAAAAATTTGAGCAATACTTTCTATTGACTTAAACACAGCTCAGTATTTACAGTAGCCTCTGCATGATAAATTTGATAAATAAAAAATGTGCCTGGGTAGTCAAATATGGCCTCAAGCCATTCTTACTATATTCCAATATACAGTACTTTTTTTTCTCTCATCAGACAACCTCTAGATCCAGTGAACTCTATAGCACGTAGGACTGGTACTGTTAATGGGATTCAGTTCGGCTTTGAAAAATTGCTTTAAAAAGCAATTGTATCATAGACTTTCATATGAATTTGGGGTGATCAGCTCTGGACAAACTTGACAGGTTTAGTCCAAATCCCATCTTTCAAAGGTACATCTTCTTCCTTTTATGGTGACCAAAATGTCATTATCAGTTTCAAATGATAACCTGAATACAAAGTTATGGCACATCTCTATATGTCAGTAAATTAGGGGACTTCCTACTAAGCTGACACAACTGGCATTCTGTTCCACTTACCCTTGTGGGTAGTGTTAGAAGCAGCAGTTGGCCATCCTCTGCCCTCACCCCAAGCTTCTGCTCATTACATTTACAGTCAAAAGTAGTTACTTTTGACTAATGGGTATGATATTGGACTTTGTACATATAAAATATTAGTGCTGATGCCATTTTTGGAAGGTACCCAGCAGTATGGAAAAAAGGGAACTATGACAAGGAAGATACAATCCCTCCTTAAAAATGAATGAGAACAATAGTACGTCAATTTTAAAGAGAATTTATTCTGAATTATGCTGTGTATGAGCTGTAAACTACTACTTTGCTTACATTTACAGTTCCTCAGTAATAGGCAATATATGATTATTGGTAACAATGCTGAGCTGGAGCGTTGAAAATATCTTTACAAGATTTTTATGCAATGCTCTTTTTCTAATTACAGATGTTTCATGCTATTGCCATGAAAAATAAAGCAGAGGCAGGTCGCTGAGGAAGAGTTTAAAGTCACTCTGTTCATTAAAATAGTTTTGATGAAGAAAATTAACTCTATCCCAGCCAAAACCAGCACATTCTCCAAATCTCTTGTTTAAACAGATATAATTCCAAAATATGCTATTTTTAAGAAACACCTTTGTTTGTTCTGTTCTTTACTCCTGACAAAGCTGACCTGTTGCAGCTTCTGGTATCAAATAGCCAAGAATTTTTAAAGGGCAGATTACATGAATATTAGAACATAGATTTAAATTTTATAGCTTAAATGACCAGTATCCAAGTAAAAAATCTCTTTTGGAATAGGAATGAATGGTGAATTCATAACGGATGACTCTAAACCAAAATCACTTACCCTCATTTTAGATTAGCTAAACTTGATGTTTACGTAGGTACCTGAAGTGTCTGATACCTTTCAGTTGGCAATGGACTGTGGAATTGCCTGTATATACACTGCAGTTACGATATCTGATGATAAAATATGTGCATCATTTGTCCTCATCATATAACATGTGCATGTGTGTACACATGTATTTACACACAGAAATGCATGTTTGTTAAAAAGTCTGTTATTTCAGTCAATCAATCATAAAACTCTTTTTCATTGTTAAATTAAGAGGTACCATCTAAAGCACCGCCTGTACTACAGTGAATAGAGGATGCAACTTGTGCAATGCAAACACTGACAAATGACATCAGATCATCAATTTGAAAAAACTTTCATTTGAAGCCAGCACAATTTGAAATTTGTTTTCAGTTATCTACAAGTATAGAAATCACAATGTACTTGAATTTTTTAAATTATGAATAATTTCTTATGGCATTGTCGTGGTTTAAACCCAGCCAGACAGCTTGTTCACTCACTCCCCCCCTTCTTGCCCTCCCCCTACTCCCGGAGGGATGGAGAGGAGAATTGAAAAGAATGCAACTCCCACGGGTTGAGATAAGAATAGTTTAGTAACTAAGGTATAACATAAATCACTACTGCTACCACCAATAATAATAATGATAAAGGAAATAACAAGGGAAGAGAATACAACACCTCACCACCAGCTGACCGATAACTCGCCCCCCGCCAGACAAGGTGGTTGGTGACAGCCAGCATGCCTTCAACTAAAGGGAAATCCTGCCTGACCAATTTAGTGGCCTTCTATGATGGGGCTACGGAGCTAATGGACAGGGGCAGAGCAGTTGACGACATCTACCTGGACTTGTGCAAAGCATTCGACATCCTGATCTCTAAATTGGAGAGACATCAGTTTGAGAGATGGACCACTCGGTGCATAAAAAATTAGCTGGATGGCCACATGGAAAGAGTTGTGGTCAATGGCTCAGTGTCCAGCTGGAGACCTGTAATGAGTGGTGTCCCTCAGGGATCGGTGTTGAGACCGATCTTCTTCAAAATCTTCATCAGTGATATGGACAGAGGGATCGAGTGTGCCCTCAGCAAGTTTGCCAATGACACCAAGCTGTGTGGTTTGGTTGATATGCTGGAGGGAAGGGATGCCATCCAGAGGGACCCTGACACACTTCTGAGGTGGCTGATGCCAACCTTACGAAGTTTAACCATGCCAAGTGCAAGGTCCTGCACCTAGGTCAGAGCAATCCCAGGCACAGCAATAGGCTGGGCAGAGAAGAGATTCAGAGCAGCTCTGTGGAGGAGGATTTGGGGGTGTTGGTTGATGAGAAAATGAACATGAGTCAGCAGTGTGCGCTTGCAGCCTAGAAAGCCAAACGTATACTGGGCTGCATCAAAAGGAGCATGACCAGCAGGTCCAAGGAGGTGATCCTGCCCCTCTACTCTGCTCTTGTGAGACCTCACTTCCAGTATTGTGTTCAGTTCTGGTGTCCTCAACATAAAAAAAAGCATGGATCTGTTGGAACAAGTCCAGAGGAGGGCCATGAGGATGATCAGGGGGCTGGAGCAGCCTCCCCTATGAAGATGATAGGCTGAGAAAGTTGGGGCTGTTCAGCCTGGAGAGAGAAGGCTGCTTGGAGAGCTCATAGCAGCCTTTCAGTATCTGAAGGGAGCCTATAAAAGTGGTGGGGAGGGACTCTTCTGTAGGGCCTGTAGGGCCTGAACCCAGGTGCCCTGGGTTCAACAGTAGCAGTCATTTTTCTCCTTAGTAGCTGGTGCAGTGCTGTGGTCTTGACTCTCAGCCTGGGGAGAATGCTGATAACACCAGTATTTTCAGTTCTTGCTAAGTAATGTTTACTCTGACCAAGGACTTTCTTAGTCTCATGCTATGCCAGGGAGGAGGGGAAGCCGGGAGGGAGCGGGGACAGGACACCTGACCCAAATGAGATAAAGGGGTATTCCATACCATAGCATGTCATGCCCAGTATGTAAACTGGGAGCAGTTACCTGGAAGGGCTAGAACACTGCTCAGGTCAGGATGGGTATCAGTCGGCGAGTGATGAGCAGTTTTATTCTCTTCCCTTGTTATTTCTCTTATCATTATTATTACTGGTGGTAGCAATAGTATTGTGTTATACCTTAGTTACTGGACTGTTCTTATCTCAACCAGTGGGAGTTACATTCTTTCGATTCTCCTCCCCATCCCTCCGGGAGCAGGGGGAGGAAGGAGGAGTGGGCAGTGACCAAGCGTCTGTGTGGTTCTGTGTTTCTGGATTGGCTTAAACCACGACAGTTCCTTGTGGCACCCAATGTGGAGCACAAAGTGTTGAGATAACGACAGATCTGACCAGAATGTGTCTCATCATATTTGTGATAAGCATTTATTGTTTTTGGATTAATAGTCACTCATCACAATGCTGATTTATTGGCTCTCAAAGTTGTTGCTGTTGATCTCAGAGTTTCAGCATGTCTTACCTTACATACAGCCGCTATTTGCTATTTTAGTGCTTATCAGCTGGGGGCCTTGGGCTAAGGTTCTTGCTTCACTGTACTTTATGTACATTTTTTTTAACTCATTGATTATGAAACTGATCTAGCTTGTGTTCCCAGTGTGGTCATCACCTCTATACTTTGGGAGGTATATAATGGAAGTGTTAAGCAATTACACATCTTTTGTTTCCTCCTTGGGTGGTCAACCTACGAAAGAGACATTCGCTTACGTTCTCAGCTCCCCCACTAGAATATTTACAGCATCATTTGAGAGTTGTGAAGGTTTTGAATGGCCTTTGGGTACCCTTGACACCTGCCTGCTGATTGTGATGGGGATCACCATGGTGGCACACGTACAGAGTGTGTTTTACCCATGACCATTTCGTCTGATCTCTAAAGTTAAGCAGAGTCGTGTCTGCATCTTGTCTAGGGTTAGAAGACAATATAGGAGGACCAGGAGATTTTCCCAAAGGCTGGACAGTCATGAGTGGCAGGGTGTGTGGGATAGTATGGGCAAGTATCTAGGCTAGTGGGCCCTTCCAGTGCTTTGGAACTTCACCACTGAACAAGTGCAAAATCCGGAAAAATTTGTAAAACAAATTGACAAATTGTTGGGGAATTGACAAAACAATTGCAAAAGAGAAACCATCCCTCAGCCTTTGGAGGTGGCTCTTGGCAGCTGTGAAAGAAAGGTTTCTGTACAAGGATGATGTTATGAGTCATTTGGCCAAATGGACTACTCTAGAGAAAGGCATCCAGTCTCTGAGGGAATCAGCCATTGTAGAGATGATCTATTGCAGGCAGATGCCAGGAATGCACCCATAGATCCAGATGATGTCTAATGTACACGACCAATGTGGCAGAAATTTACAGGGAATGCACCATCATCATATGCCCACTCACTGGCAACAGTAACCTGGAATGACGTAGTACCACCAACAGTGGATGAGATGATTCATAAACTCCGAGAGTTCGAAGAAAATCTCACCCCTTCCATCATTTCAGCCGTGGAAAAACTGTCCCAGGATCTCAAACAATTGAGAGACGATTTATCCAATCTATCCACCCCCACAAAGGTTAATGGGTTCAAACTTAAACAGGGGAAGTTTAGACTGGATATAAGGAAGAAGTTCTTTACTGTAAGGGTGGTGAGGCACTGGAATGGATTGCCCAGGGAAGTTGTGAATGCTCCATCCCTGGTGGTGTTCAAGGCCAGGTTGGACAGAGCCTTGGGTGACATGGTTTAGTGTGAGTTGTCCCTGGGGTTGGAACTAGATGATCTTAAGGTCCTTTCCAACCCTAAGTATTCTGTGACTCTGTGAAAAATGTGAACTGGTAACAGTAAAGCAGATTAAACACATAATGAAAAGAATCATACATATAGCTGTGTTCTAAATTAAATGTAACCAGCAAGGGAAAAAAACTTCAGAGCAACTGTGTATCACTCAATGAAAACTTTTATCCAGTGTGCAAAAGCAGAAAAAATAATTCTCAAGAGGTCGAATTGCCACTGTGTCATTAAGCAGTAGGAAATAATTTGTAACAGCTCCTGCTGTTTTTAAAAGTTATTAAAAAAACCTCCATGCACCAAAGGCACAAAAGGATACTGAAAAGTACCAGGAACCTGGAAAGACCTCCACGTGATCAGTAGGCTAAAAAGGCTGGAGCTGCCTACTGACTGACAGGTCATCTTCCACTTTATCCCTTTTTCTAGGACAAGAGCTTATGCAATGAAAGTGAAGGTCAAAAAAACCCAAACAAACCCCGAAACCCAAAACCCTGATCAAATTAAATGTGCATTTCATTGTGTTAACTTCTGGGGGCTTTCAATTTGGTAGGATTAAAAAATAATAATAAAAATTGGACACATAGATAATGAGAAGCTACTCAGTTGCATTAAGATGAATAGTATTTATGCAGAACATAAACCTTTATTCCTTGAGAACTAAGACAATCAGCAACCATGAAGATTAGAAAGAAATTTCTCCTATTTCTTCTCATTCACTTCAGGGCTTTTTTTACCTTTCTATAAAGTATGTCTCGTGACATATATCCAGTCACTGTAAGAGACAAGGACCTCCTGGCAGTTCTGAGTACTCTTGAATATGACAAGCATTAGTACTGAGGAACTTGAATGTTACTCATCCATATTTACCCAGATACTTTAGCCAGAGTGGTATTAATTCTGTTTTTAAAATAATCCTGATCTTTGGAGACCATTGTGTCTGAGCACACATAACTGAGAAGTGATTTGTTACTTGGCAATACACAAAACCAAGTTGCAGTTTTATACATTACTCAGTCATCATTCCTACTCCGTGCCTCGTCATCATTTCCCCACAAGGGCTTTCTACTGCAAAGGCATGGAACAAAGTCCATACTGCTTCATGTAACTCCATGAGAAATGGAAGGAGAGAAGCCAACTGATATAAAATGGTGTAATATATGGGGAGTGTGAAACTTATTTATGTGCTTCTCATCATACCACTTGTGTAGCATGACAATGATTTTTTCATGAGTGGGCTCTCTATTTGCAGTTGTTGCAATTAACACCCCCCCACCCCCAAGACTGCAGTTGTTTAAATCACATACCAATTCCATTCACAACAGGTGAATTGTTACTAACTTCCAACATGCTGGGCAAATTTTGTTCTCCTTCATGATCATTTAAATCCACATTGTGCTGTTGTGAGACATTCCCGAAATGTCTAGAATCCTTTTCATGACTGCCATCTCCATTCTGCAGACCATTATATGACTTTTTCAGTGGCATAATCTGTAAACCACTGGGAGTAGTTCGGTAAGTCACAGTATTAGCAGCCCTGTCATTAGCAGATGCTGGCTTTGCTGTGTATCCTCTTTTCTGTTTTTGAAGAGATGGATTAATTCTCTTCCTTTTGTGTGTTGACCCTTTAGACTTCCCAGTTTCAGAAGGTCTATGTGATATTTTCTCAAGAGATGACCCTCGGCTTTCCTGTAAAAATTTTTGAGTGCTGCCCTGTTTCCCATGTCTTGATCGCTTTTCTCTAGTAACATGTAGTACATTGAACTCATCAATAAATTCCTCACAATGTAGTAGATGATGTTCAGGTTCCCAGGTGTCTTCATTGCTTCTGTAGCCTTTCCACCTGATGAGATACTCCCATTTGCCCTTCTTGTTCTTCCTTTTGTCTACAATCCTCTCTACCTAAAAGAAAAATACAAACATATTATATTAGAAAAAATAATAGTTTGGACATGGAAATTATGTTCTTCATTTACAGCTAGGAAGGCCTCCTTGACACTACAAAGGTGCAGTAGTGTTCATGAGATTCTCTGAAAATATTGTGCTGAAAATATGATCTGGCTCTGACATGGAAAGCTCAGCCAGGGTAGCCAAAATGTAGTGACCTATTTCAGAGATTTAAATTCACCTTATTGTCATAAGATGCTCCCCAACATTACATTCCCATTGGATCTTATATAGACTATGCTGATTGATGATGAGAAGCTACTTGGTGTATAAACTGCTTGACACAACGTTTAGGAATCAGTGTTACATGTTTCTGTTCAACAGAAATTCCCATGAACAGACCTGGCAATACAGGAGAGGAATGAAGAGAGCAAAGCCATTTCCCCTTCTGAAAACATTAAGATGAAACATAAAACACCTGATCAAATCTGATCTGGGAACCTGCAATAGCCACAATGTGAATTAACAAGAGAGAGACTGAAGATCATTTATGAAAAGCATTAATTTGTAAATCTGGTTGTAAAAATTAGACTATTAAGCTACCTCTTCTTTGAAAGAGCTAAAACAAGCATCTTTTGCAATATTGCCAGTTACCGATCACTCTCCTGAATCCACACATGCATTATGTCCCTATAAACATCCCCATACCCATTTCTTATGAGTGCAATATTTTAGTAAATCCACAAAATTTGTGAGTGCACCTATTTAAAAAAAGAAAAGGCAAATAAAAGGCATAAAGGCAGGATTTTTTATAGAAGTAATGAATTTCATGAACCTATGCTAGAGAAATGTCAGTTTAAGGAACATTTCTGCAACAAGGGATAAGGGACTATATTGGGACTGCAAGCTGAATGTGAATTAACAGTATCGTGCTGCTGTGGAAAACAGCCTGTACAACTGAATAAATCTTTGTGCCATCTCAGCACTGGCAAAATCTCAACTAGAGGGAGAGTGCATATGAAAACCCAAGTACAATCAGTGGACAGAAAGTCATGGGTTTAAATTAGAATCATAGAATCATAGAATAGTTAGGGTTGGAAAGGACCTCAAGATCATCAAGCTCCAACCCCCCTGCCATGGGCAGGGACACCTCACTCTAAAACATATTACCCAAGGCCTCATCCAACCTGGCCTTGAACACTGCCAGGGATGAAGCATTCACAACCTCTCTGGACAACCTATTCCAGTGCCTCACCACCCTGACAGGAAAGAATTTCCTCCTTATATCCAATCTAAACTTCCCCTGTTTAAGTTTTAACCCATTACCCCTTGTCCTATCACTACAGTCCTTATTGAAGAGTCCATCCCCAGCATCCCTATAGGCCCCCTTCAGATACTGGAAGGCTGGTATGAGGTCTCCACGCAGCCTTCTCTTCTCCAGGCTGAACAGCCCCAACTTTCTCAGCCGATCTTCATATGGGAGGTGCTCCAGTCCCCTGATCATTCTCGTGGCCCTCCTCTGGACTTGTTCCAACAGATCCATGTCCCTTTTATGTTGAGGACACCAGAACTGTACACAATACTCCAGGTGAGGTCTCACGAGAGCAGAATAAAGGGGCAGGATCACCTCCTTTGACCTGCTGGTCACGCTCCTTTTGATGCAGCCCAGGATACGGTTGGCTTTCTGGTCTGTGAGCGCACACTTACCAATCATGTTCATTTTCTCATTGATCAGAACCCCCAAGTCCTTCTCTGCAGGGCTGCTCTTAATCTCTTCTCTGCCCAAGCTGTTGCTGTGCCTGGGATTGCTATGACCCACGTGTAGGACCTTGCACTTGCCATGGTTAAACTTCATGAGGTTGGCATCAGCCCACCTCACAAGCATGTCAAGGTCCCTCTGGATGGCATTCCGTCCCTCCAGCATATCAACCAAACCACACAGCTTGGTGTCATCGGCAAACTTGCTGAGGGCACACTCAATCCTACTGTCCATGTCAGCGACGAAGATGTTAAACAAGACCGGTCCTAACACCGATCCCTGAGGGACACCACTCATTACTGGTCTCCAGCTGGACATTGAGCCATTGACCACAACTCTTTGTGTGTGGCCATCCAGCCAGTTCTTTATCCACCAAGTGATCCATCCATCAAATTGATGTCTCTCCAATTTAGAGACAAGGATGTTGTGTGGGACAGTGTTGAATGCTTTACACAAGTCCAGGTAGATGATATCAACTGCTCTACTGCTGTACATCAGTTCTTTAGCCCCATCGTAGAAGGTCACCAAATTGGTCAGGCAGGATTTCCCCTTAGATAAGCCATGCTGGCTGTCACCAAGCACCTTGATGTTTTTCATGTGCCTTAGCATGCCTTCCAGGAGAATCTGCTCCAAGATTTTGCAAGGCACAGAGGTGAGACTGACTGGTCTGTAATTGCCTGGGTCATCCATTTTCCCCTTCTTGAAAATGGGGTTTATATTTCCCTTTTTCCAGGCATCGGGAATGTCACCTGACTGCCATGATTTTTCAAATATGATGGCCAGTGGCTTAGCAACTTCATTTGCCAGCTCCTTCAGGACCCGCGGATGGATTTCATCAGGTCCCATGGACTTGTGCACGTTCAGATTTTTAAGATAGTCTCGAACCAGATCCTTTCCTACAGTGGGCCCAAGGTCTTCATTCACACAGTCCCTGCATCTACCTTCCAAGACTTGTCTGGTGCGGTCAGAGCCTTTGCTGTTGAAGACTCAGTCAAAGAAGTCATTCGGAACCTCAGCCTTCTCCAAATCCTGTGTAGCTAGCTCTCCCAAGAGGTTCCTGAGGGGGCCTACTTTGTCCCTAGTCTGTTTTTTATTTGCTATGTACCTGTAGAATAGAATAGTTAGGGTTGGAAAGGACCTTAAGATCATCTAGTTCCAACCCTCCTGCCATGGGCAGGGACAATTCACACTAAACCATGTCACCCAAGGCCTTGTCCAACCTGGCCTTGATCACCACCAGGGATGGAGCATTCAGAACTTCCCTGTGCAACCAGTTCCAGTGCTTCACCACCCTTACAGTAAAGAACTTTTTCCTTATATCCAGTCTAAACTTCCCCTGTTTAAGTTTTAATCTGTTACCCCTTGTCCTATCACTACAGTCCCTAATGAAAAGTCCCTCCCCCGCATCCCTATAGCCCCCCTTCAGATGATAAGAGAAATAACAACTGAGTAGAATACAACTGCTCACCACCCACCTACCGACATCCAGTCCAACCCGAGCAGTGATCTAGCCCTTCCAGGTAACTGCCCCCAGTTTATATGGTGGGCATGCCGTGCTGTGGTATGGAATACCTCTTTGACTAGTTTGGGTCAGGTGTCCTGTCTCTGCTTCCTCCTGGCTTCCCCTCCTCCCTGGCAGAGCATGGGAATCAGAATGTCCTTGGGCAGAGCAAACATTACATAGCAACAGCGAAAAACATCGGTGTTATCAGTGTTGTTCCCAGGCTGAAAGTGAAAACCAGGACACTGCACCAGCTAATAAGGAGAAAAATGGCTGCTACTGCTGAACCCAGGACATGGAGTTACATGGTAGGTCAAAATGAAAGCAAAAGGGATAGGTAGTCAGAAGAATGACAGGGAAGACATTCCTCATCTAAATTATTTGCAGGCAGGATATCAAATGCTGTCTTCACAAGATGTTCAGTGAATGCCCTCTTAATGTCAAGAAGACACTGCTTTTTTATTCATAGAATCATAGAATGGTTAGGGTTGGAAAGAACCTTAAGATCTAGTTCCAACTCCCTGCCATGGCCAGGGATGCCTCACCCTAGACCGTGTTGCCCAAGGCTTTGTCCAACCAGGTCATCAACACTGCCAGGGATGGAGCATTTACCACTTCTTTGGGCAACCTGCTCTGTTGCCTCACCACCCTCACAGTAAAGAACTTCTTCTTTATATCTAACCTGAACTTCCTCTGTTTAAGCCCATTACCCCTTGTCTTATCACTATGGTCCCTGAGGAAGAGTCCCTCCCCAGCATTCTTACAGGCCCCCTTCAGATATTGGAAGGCTGCTATGAAGTTGCCACGCAGCTCCTCTTCTCCAGGCTGAAAAGCCCCAACTTTCTTAGCCTGTCTTTGGAGGGGAAGTGCTCTAGCCCCCGTATTGTCCTTGTGGTCCTCCTCTGGACTTATTCCAACAGCTTCATGTCCTTCTTAAGTTGAGGACACCAGAACTACACACAGTACTCCTCTTTTCTCTTTTTAAGCATATGATTTTTTAATTTTCGACAATCTTCTTAGAATCAGATGAGGTGTTAAACTTGCTAGGGAAATCCTGAGAGTTTTGCATTTCCACTGGAAAAAGCCCATAGCCTCATATTATCATGGTTGCAAACCGCTGAGTTAGGCATATGTGTCCTCCAACACATGTATGAAAACTTACAACATAACAAATAAATGCCATAAAAACTCCTGCTGCTCCCTTGATGTAAGCCTGCATCTTTGATCCTCCTCTCCTGACAAGCAGCAGCACTGCAGAGGCTTTCTGCTACATGATTTAGTAGTCCAGGTTTATATAGAAAACCAGAAGCACACTGCAATTTAGTTGTATTTTACACTAGTGATGCAGCAATTACATTAGAAATTACTGCTGGAAGTGTTGTTTTCACTTTCCCAAAACTCTTCTAAATGCTGGGCGTTTCACACGTGTAAGTACACTCTGTTTATTACCTTTCCTGGCATCCATGTATTTTGAAGAATATGAAAGATAAGCCATGCTCCGTCCTTATGCAACATGATTTCCTCTTTGTGTAAGGGGTCTTCTGGCAGAAAGAGCTTGCCTTATTACAGTTTAGATCAAATGAAGGCTGATAGCCTGCAGATAAACTGTCAATCACAGCCTCCATGGAGACTCCTATCTCTTTTGACCTTACGTCCATTTTCTTGGAAGTCCCACCTTTCTCTGAAACTCAATCTCATTGAAATGGAAATTCAGGTCTGGTATCTCAGTTCTTCTTTTCTGGATCTTTTGCAAAC